AATTTTAGAAAAGCATTGTTTTAGTTCTAGCTTTGTTTCTAAGATGATGTAGTGACAGCAAACTGATTTTTGTTTAGCTGGTAACAAATAGGAGGAAATGAAAGTTGTTCAAAAAGGGTAGAGAAATTCTGAAACCAAAAGAACTGAGCAGGTGGATGTATTTCCTCCTAGAGGGATAAGGAAAAAGACATACAGTATGAAATTCAATGGGACAAGAAAGGAAAATAGCATATGCCAAATAATAAAATTAAGAAAAATAAAAAAGATGATGTGTAGGTGAAAAAGACATCGGGACTTCTATCACTGGCCTATAGCTGAGGTCTTGGCCAGTTGCAAAGCCTAAGTGGACATCTGGAGGAGGAGATGAAGATGGAGAGAGAGGAAAGAAGCAGAGTGGGTGGGGTGTGCAAAATAGAGCAAGAGAAGGAGAGGCAGAGGGAGGGAGAAGTAGGAATGGAGAGAAGATGGGAACAAGGAGGGAGAGAGTAAAATGAAGAGGGATGTTGAAAGAGGAAGGGTGGGAGGAGGAAGAAACGGAGCAGAACAAGGGGGGATATAGACAGAAGAAAGGGTTGGAAAGAAGAGAAAAAGGAAGGGAAAAAGGGATGTGGAGAGAGAAGAAGGGAAAGGAAATAGAAAGGAGAGTGGGGAGAGAGAGAGAGAAGAGAAGATATGGGAAGAAAGACGGAAGGAGAGAGGGGAAGAGGTTTTCGATAGCTACTTTTGGTCCATTCAGTTCTTGGTTGTGCTCTACCAGCTGTATTCTTGCCAACCAGCCAGTATATGACATAAGCAAATGTTTAAAGTTCAATTGAACATGCTTTCATTCATGATTGATTAGCTGAGTTGAAACAGGACTAATGTTACAATCAGAGTAAGTTTCTACACCTGGTATTTGGAAGGTCTTATAATACCCAAATATACTTGATGCAATTGGATTTGAGAAAAAGAGTTATTAACCATCAATTGTGATGAAATATATTGTTTCTTATAGTCCTCTAATACTTCCAATCCAAAATTTAGTGGCATATTTAAGGGAGGCATTTTGTATATATATTTTAAGTTCATGCTTGCTTTTTTATTAACTTTTCATGTTTTAAATTTCAGCTGCTACTAATCAAACCATTAATAAAATCATCATACTGTTAAGGACATTGCTATATATCTCTTTCCTTGGTGATGCATTCCTGGACCGAAATACTTGGGTTATCTGCTGTAAAGAGCATCTTTTGATTAGAATCAAGATAGAGTTGTGATTGAATACTTTACTTGGGGTCAAACTGCCTGGCTTTTAATCCCAGCTCACCATTTGTTCTTTTACTGGATAAGGATGACTTCAGAAGATGGACAATGGAGGAATATACTTAAAATTTTTGCAGAAGTTACTCATCATGGATGTAAAACCTGTTCTTGGGTATAAATTCCCAGGCCACAGGAATACCTGTTACATACGCTGGTATAACATGGTTTTTAGTTTTTGTTACACAAACACAGGCACAAGACTAAATGACTTCTTGAACAGAGAAGCATAGGGTTATTATGGTTATCAAAGCATATCTTTCTATTGCTTTCCACGGCTGTGCCATTCATTAAGAAGAAGTGTTATTATCATATAGTATCTACTTTATAGATACCAAAAACAAAAGCTCAAAGATATTACTTATTGAAATCTCAGTCAGCTTTTCTGACTTTTGCTTCATATTATGATGGGGAAGCATGGATTTCTATTGTTAAGCATCAATCCTCCTCTTATGACTTAACAAGTTACTTTAAAACTTAGAACCCATAAAAGGGAAAATAATATTACCTCACTGCATAAATAATGGCAAGAGGTGTCATATAAGGTATGTAACACTTGTTTGGCACATTTTATGTAGACAAAAACACTGCATACTTTTATTTCCAGAAAATTTTCCTGCCTTTGATTAAAAGTATCATCTTGTAATGATAACGTGTGTGATTATTTTTCCTAATCACTTTAATAGTGTTTTCATTGTCAAAGATGTAAAATCTTAGATAAGAGCAAAGAAGAAAATTAAAATCAGTCGGGCGCAGTGGCTCACGCCTGTAATCCCAGCACTTTGGGAGGCCATGGCGGGTGGATCACGAGGTCAAGAGATGGAGACCATCCTGGTCAATGAGATGAAACCCCATCTCTACTAAAAATACAAAAAATTAGCTGGGCATGGTGGCGCACGCCTGTAGCCCAGCTACTCGGGAGGCTGAGACAGAAGAATTGCTTGAACCCAGAAGGTGGAGGTTGCAATGAGCCGAGATCATGCCATTGCACTCCAGTCTGGGTAATAACAGCGAAACTCCATCTCAAAAAAAAAAAAAGAAAGAAAGAAAATTAAAATCACCTATAATTTTACCACTCAGAGATATGTAATAAAATTTTGGCATTCAGGTGTATATATTTACAGTTGATGTAATGTATACACATATATACAATAGAGCATGAGTTTACAACCTATGTAGTCAAACAGAGCCCCATGTTTAGACGGGCACGTAGTTTAATGCACTGCTCTTACCTTCTTGAAATTCTTAATAAGTTTTGAGTAGGGGGGGTCTCACATTTTCATTTTGCACTCTGCTTCACAAGTTATACAGCTGGTCCGGCACTCACAGTAGAGTTTTTTAAAAAATTGGAATGATGCTTGGAATTAGACTTGGAACATATATTGCTGAGTAACCTGATTTTGCACATAGCAAATTGTGTCCACTTTCCCATGTCATAAAATATGTTTATCCCATTATTTGCATGACTGCATGGTGTTTTCTATTGTACAGTCCATGAAGTCCCAATATTCAGTTTTTAATTTTGATACTACTATTGGCTTCAGTTTATAATAGTCTGAAAATAAATAATTTCAGGACATTTAAAATACACTAGGAAGGTTGTTATGTAAAATTCATTGGTACACTATGAATTCTCAAAAATGCTGTCTTTCAAGCCACATCAGAAATCCACTTTACCTATTGGAAGGCATTACCTTTCTATGTCAGTCAAATTCTTAGACTAGGACTATTAAATGATGTGTTAGGAGATCTTAATTCCACTTACCCATGTAGGGAAGATTTTGCTTGCCTTTCCCAAGCACATTATAAACGAGGGAGAAGTGAAGAATTTATAAGTTACTTAGCACTTATGCCTAACCTGAAGCACTCTATAAGGTAACTTGAGTAACAATTTATTCTGAGTAGAAAATCCTAAATTTGATAATAAATCAGATCATATAACTATGTTAACAAATAGTTAAAAAGAATGAGAAATATTTTTTCTAATATCTGAGCAGTATGAAATGATAAGAGCACTTGGCAAATGAATCCAATAAAAATTCCCTAATTGCAGAAAAAGCAGTTCGAAAATGATTTTGCAAATCAAAGGGAGCATTTGGGATTAGCTTTCAAAATGAAGACTAGAGACCTACATCTTTATTACAGCGAGAATGGTGAGCCAAGCAAGCTTAAAAAGTGGTCACGTGAAAGAGTAAAAAGAATAGATTCTTGATTATAGTAAATTTAAATTTGGCCTGACTAGAAATGGTAAATTTTGCAGAAAGGCAACGGAAATTACACTGGAACTTGGCATAGCTCTCAGAAAGTAGACTAGATGAATAATAACAGCCAATTTCATGGCTTTGAAAGCTCAAAGAATCATCAAATATACATGCATAGTTCCTTTAAAAAGCCATGCTTTCTATCCAGCTTTGATTTTTGAGACTCTCTTTACAGATTCAGTTAAGTAAGTTATTTTTTTATTGCAAATGTGATTAATTTTCAGTAATCTGGCCTCGTGTCCATTCAGGATTCTTACTACTCTGAAGCCAATAATAGCATTAAGTACCCAAAACTGAATGACTGGGGTTTCATGGGACCTCATTTAATGGCATATGTCTAACAATGTCACTAACATACAAAGATAATGCCTTTCTTACCACTCAGAATGACTAGGTAAAGTGGACCCTTGATGTAGTTTACCAGTTATAGCATTTTTGAGAATTTTTAGTATGAGAATTAATTTTACATATCTAACTGCTGAGAGTGAATTTTAAATACAAACTATATATTGCATGTATTTAAAAACAATTTTAACTGATGTATAATATTTGTACATATTAGTGAGGGTACATGTAATATTTGTTACATGCATAGCAGCTTTTCATATGCCTCTTTGCCATTTATATATTTTCTGTTGAGGAATATCTATTTATATTTTTTGTTTATTATTTAATTGGATTATTAGACTTTTTTTCCTATAGAATTGTTTGTGCTTCTTAATATTCTTATAATTAATCCCTTGTCAGATGGGTAGTTTGCAAACATTTTCTTTAATTCATTGCGTTGTCTCTTCACTTCATTAATTCTTTCCTTTGCTATTAGAAACTTTTCAGCTTGATATGATCCCATTTGGCTACTTTTGCTTTGGATACCTGTGCTTGTGCAATACTACTCAGGACATTTTTGCCCAGATCAACGTCCTGGAGATTTTCCCCAAAGTTTTCTTGTAGTTGTTTCATAGTTTCAGGTCTTAGATTTAAGTCTTTAATTCATTTTGGTTTGATTATGTATATGTTGAGAGATAGAGATCTAGTTTCATTCTTCACCATATGAATATTCAGTTTTGCCAGAATTATTGATTGAAGAGACTTTTTTTTAACCAGTGTATGTTCTTGGCCTGTTTCTTAAAAGTAAGTTCGCTGTAGCTGTGTAAATTTGTTTCTGGATTCTCTATTCTGTTATATTGGTCTATGTGTATGTTTTTATGCCAGTATCATACCATTTTGGTTACTACAGCTTTGTAGTATTATTGGAAGTCAGGTAATGTGATTCCTCCAGTTTTCTTCTTTTTTCTTAGGATAACTTTGGGTATTCTGGGTCTCCTGTGGTTCCATATACATTATTTTTTTTAGAAACTGTTGTTTATTTTCTGTCAATCTTATTTCCATGTTGCTTAAGAGCCAATGCAAGAACATCTTAAGACCAATTCAGTGGTTGTTCCTACCCTTTCAGTGCCCTGAGCAATGGGAGCTGCAAACAAGTCTACTGTGGCAGGCTGAGCATTCCAGTCTTTAGTAGGGAACTGCTGGATAGGCACAGAGGGCACCTGCATGCCTTCAGACCAGTCTGCAACCTCAGGCTAAGTAGCAGTGAACTCAGGAGCTGGAGCAGTCCATTTACCCTGAAATTCCTCCTTGGTCACAGCCTTTTCAGCAGCAGCCTGCTCTTCTTTTTCAATCTCTTCAGGTTCTCTGTAGAAATAGAGATCAGGCATGACCTCCCACAAGTGTTCACACAAAATGGTGCCACACATGTGCAGAACTTCCCGAGCCAGCATCCACCACATCAAACCCACGGAGTGAGCTCCTTTGTTGTTGCATGGTACAGCAAGGTCCACATTAGCACAGAGGAGAATCTGTATTACACAGAGAGATGGGGGGCAGGTTAACATAAGATGCCTCCATGAGAAGCTGGTGGTCCTTCCTGAGGTCAGTAACCACAAGAAACTGTGGCTCCTGGAAGGCTGCCTGGATGTGGTTGGTGAAGGCTCTGGGAGTAAAGCCGCCAGCAATTGGAGTGGCTCCAGTGGCAGCAGCAAACTTCAGCATGGCCCTCTGGCCAGTATTCCTGGAAGATATGACACTGACATCAGCAGGGTTTTCAATGGCAACAATGGCATGAGCTGCCAGCAGGAGCTTCTCCCAGGTTCTCTTCAGATTTAGGATGTAGATGCCATCACTTTTCCTTTTATAGATGTACTGTTCCATCTGGAAGTCAAGGTTGGTGCCACCTAAGTGGGTTCCTGCTGCAAGGAACTTAAGGACATCCTGCTCCTTCATTTGCAGGACATCAAGGGCTCTAGACATGGTGAAAGTTTCCTTTTAAGTTACGGCAGGAATCCAGAAAACCATGTGGACCCCTCTGTGGGTAGGGTGGAAAGGCCCATATACATTTTAAGATAGGATTTTGTATTTCTGTGAAAAATGTCATTGGTATTTTGATAGGAATTGCATTACATCCGTAGATTGATTTGAGTAGTGTAGACATTTTGATATTGATTCTTCTAATTGATGAACATGGAATATCTTTCCTTTTTTGGTGCCCTCTTCAATTTCATTGGTCAGAGTTTTATACTTTCATTATAGAAATCTTTCATTTCTTTCGTTAATTCCTAGCTATTTACTTCTATGTAGCTATTGTAAATGGATTACCTTTATGATTTCTTTTCAGTTTATTCACTGTTGACATATATATATGCTACTAATATTTGTATGTTGATTTTTGTATCCTGCAATTTTACAGAATTTGTGTATCAATTTGAATATTTTTTGGTGAGTCTTAAGGCTTATCCAAATATGAGATCATATCATCTGCAAACAATGATAATTAGACTTCTTTTTTTCCCATTTAGATAACCTTTATATTTTTCTCTTATCTGATTACCCTAAGCCTTCCAGTACTATGTTGAATAACAGTGGTGAAAGGGGCATCCAGATCTTAGAGGAAAGACTTTCTATTTTTCCTCATTTACTATAGTGCTAGTTGTGGGTCGGTCATATAAGGCTTTTATTATGTTGAGATATGTTTTTTCTATACTCAGTTTTTTAGTGTTTATATCATGAAGGGATGTTGAATTTTATCAAATGCATTTTCAGCATCAATTGAAGTGATCATATTGATTTTGTCCTTTATTCTGTTGTTGCAATGTGTCATGTTGATTGATTTGCATATATTGAACCATCCTTAAATTCCATGGATAAATTCCACTTGGTCCTGATGAATGATAATTTAATGTACTGCTGAATTTAGTTTGCTTGTATTTTGGTTCACAATTTTGCATCAATATTTGATGGTTATATTGGCCTGTAGTCTTCTTTTTTAATGTGTCTGTCTGCTTTTAGTATCAGGGTAATATTGGGCTCATTCAATGAGTTTGAAAGTACTCCCTTCTCTATTTTTTTGGAATATGTTTAGTAGGAACACTATTCGTTCTTTTTAAATGTTTGGTAGAATTCAGTAGTAAATACATCAGTTCTTGGTGGTTTTCTGTCAGGGAAATTTTTTATTTCGGTTTTGATCTTTTACTTGTTATTGATCAGTTTAGGTTTAGGATTTCTTTTTGGTTCAGTCTTGGTAAGTTATATAAGTCTAAGAATTTGTCCACTTTTTGTAGATATTCGAAGTCATTGGTATATAGTGGCTCAGAGTAGCCAGTAATCATCCTTTGACTTTGTGCAGTATCAACTGTAATGTGTCTTTTTTTCATACCTGATTTTATTTATTTTGATTTTCTTTCTTTATGTCTTAATGCCACTAAAAGTTTAATTTTGTTTAATTTTTCAACAAAACAACTTTTCATTCTTTGACCTTTTGTACTGTTTTATCATTTCAAATTCATTTATTTCTGCTCTGATCTTTGTATTTCTTCTGCTAATTTCAAGTTTGATTAGCTCTTGTTTTTTATTTATTTATTATTAAGTTGTTTGAAGTTTTTCCACTTTTTTGATGTAGCCACTTGTAGCTATAAATTCTCCTCTTAGTACTATTTTTATTGTATCCCATAGGTTTTGGAATGTTGTGTTTCCATTTTCATTTGTCTCAGAAATATTTTTAATTTCCTTTTTCATTTATTCACTGGTCATTCAGGAGCATATTATTTAATTTACATGTATTTGTATAGATTTCACAGTTTCTAGTTATTGATTTCTAGTTTTACTCCTTTGTGGGTAGAGAAAAGACTTGATATTATTTCAATTTTATTGAATGCATTAAGACTTCTTTGTGATCTAGCACATGGTCTATCCTTGAGAATGATCATTGAGCAGAGGAAAATAATGTGTGCTGCTCTACCACAATTGGATAAAATGATTCGGAAATATCTATTAGTTCCATTTGTTCTATAGTGCAGATTAAGCCCTATGTTTCTTTGTTGATTTTCTGTCTCAAAGGTCTGTCCAGTGTTGACAGTGGAGTGTTGACATCTCCAGCTATTGTTATAATGGATCATATCTCTCTCTTTTGCTCTAATAATATATGCTTTATTTATCTGGGTGTTCCTATGATAGGAGCCCCAAGTCTTGGCAGCTTTCATGTGGTGGTTAACCTGCAGGTGCATAGAATCAAGAATTGAAGTTTGTGAACTTCTGCCTAGATTTCAGAGGATATATGGAAACACCCAGATATCCAGGTAAAGGTTGGCTGGAGGGGCAGGGCCCTCATGAAGAATATCTGCTAGAGCAGTGCAGAAGGGAAATGTGGGGTCAGATTCCCCACGCAGAGTCCCCACTGGGGAGCCACCTACTGGAGCTGTAAGAAGAGGACCACTGTCCTCCAGACCCCAGAATGGTAGATCCACTCACAGCTTGCACTGTGAACCTGAAAAATCCATAGTCACTCAATACCAGCCTATTAAAGCAGCCAGAAGGGAGGCTATACCCTGCAAAGCTACAGAGGTGGAGCTGCCCAAGGCTGTGGGAGCCACATCTTGCATCAGTGTGACCTGGATATGAGACGTGGAGTCAAAGGAGATCATTTTGGAGCTTTAAGATTTGACTGCCCTACTGGATTTTGGATTTGCCTGGGACCTTTAGCTTCTTCATTTTGGCCAATTTCTCCAATTTGGAATAGCTGAATTTACCCAATACTTATACTCCCATTGTATCTAGAAAATAACTAACTTGCTTTTTTATTTTGCATGTTTTTAGGCAGAAAGGACTTGCCCTGCCTCAGATAAGACTTTGGACTGTGGACTTTTGAGTTAATGCAGAAATAAATTAAGACTTTGAGGGACTGTTGGGAAGGAATGATTGGTTTTGAAATGTGAGGACATGAGATTTTTCAGGGACCAAGAATAGAATGATATGGTTTGGCTCTGTGTCCCCACCTAAATCTCATCTTAAATTGTGGTGCCCATAGTTCCCACATGTTGTGGGAGGGACCTGGTGAGAGACAATTGAGTCTTGGGGGCAGTCTCCCCCATACTGTTGTGGTAGTGAACAAGTCTCACGAGATCTGGTGGTTTTATAAGGGGTTTCTGCTTTTGCTTCTCTCTCATTCTCTCTTTCTATGAAAGAACTGCTTTTTGCCTTCCTTCATGACTGTGAGGCCTCCCCAGCCATGTGGAACTGTGAGTCCATTAAACCTGTTTCTTTCAAGTGTCAGATATGTCTTTATTAGTGGGTCTACAGATTTGTCATTGGTTTTATTAAATTATGCCAAAATTAATAATGTTTATAAGCTGTATAGTCATAGACCAACCCATATATTTTCTGTTTTGTTTTGTTCTCTTTTTTTGTCATTGGGGAAAATTTAGAAACTGTAAGTGTAAAGACGAAAATTAAAATGATATATTTGCTTTAAGAGACAACCACTATTAGCACTTCACTTTCCAATAAAATTCAAGCTCTAGGCCCCTTGTTTTAGTTAGGCAATATAATATCTTTACCTTTACCTGCCAGGATTTACACAGCGATGAAGGACCCTCCCTTTGTAAGACTTTCAGTCTAGTTGCAAAAGACAAATTCCAAATGACACAAATAAAAACAAAGAAGGTGTTGATAAATTGCATTGAGTGAAATGAAGGTAAGGATCAGAAAGCAGTAAGAGAGAATAATAGAAAGATGGGAGATGGGTAGTAATTTGACCATCTTGAGACTTGAAGTTGAACCAGAGTTGATGGATTGAGACCCAAAAGGGAACCAGATGGAGTAAAGGACTTGGATTAAATACCCAACATTAACTTTCTGCAAGAAACCTAAAGGGTGAAAAACACTATGCACCAGAGTTAGCGGGGCTCAGGTGTGCAATCTCGACTCAGTGTAAAAATCCTAAGCCTGGAAATAATCATAAAAAGTAGTTTGTAACACTGTCTCCTAGGGATGTTTCCACCATTCAAGCCACTCATGAGAGAAAACAGAAGAAAAATATAACTTTCAGGGAGTATGAGCTGTAGGATTAAAATTCCTAAATAAGGAAAGAAAGAAAGAAATGGAAGTACAACTCCATGTAAAACAGTTTACAGATAAACTGTGCTTGAGAAATTAGAGCTAATAGAGCAATTTAAAGATGTCTGTATATGTTGATATGTTTTAGAGATAAAAAAAGTGACAAATATTTTGTTCATTTAACAGGAAGCTAAGAAGCATAAATAAACTGATATGAACAATAATTGAGTGATATAAACTGATAATAAACAATCATCTTTGAGACAAAAAGGTAGTTAACATGAAACAATATATGAGTTAAATATTACTCTTGACATAACTAAACAAATAATTAATGGACTAAAAGAGAAAATCAACATTTTCCTTGATCCAAAAATAAGAAAGAAAATTAAAAGATAACCAGAATATTCTGCTACTGGAAGAAGAGAATAAGGAGCTCTACCATAGAACGTAAAGAGGAGAGAATAAAATATCAAAGAGGAGATATTTGATAAGATTAAATATTCTGTGAGATTATATTAAAGAAATATTATGGCAATATTCAAAGGAATATTTCAAAAATGAGACCCTGAAAAATTCCACAGTGTCAAGTTCACTTTAGAAATAAGTGCCCCTAAATACACTGTAACAAAAGCATAAAGAGCATACATTAAAAAATTAACGTACAAGTAAACAACGTTGTTCTTGAGGTGAGTTTTCCTATTGCTTTTATATTTAGAGGGTTTTCTTCCCTTGAATGTTCTGATTACCTTTTGAGAGTCCTAAGACCAAAACAATACATTTGATGTGATACAAAAGAACACAATCCAAAGAAACAATTTGATTACAAGATTTTTTTAAAGAGATTTTATTTTTCTATGACACACCTCATGCCATGGAAATTCTTCCAGATTTAAGAGGAGGACAGTTTTACAAAGATGGTGTTTAATTGTTTAAAGTTCA